CGATGCTGATGATGAACTTTTTGTAGATAGTGAAAATATCTCACCGGCTGCAATACATGATTATGTTGATCAGTATCCTGCGATGGCTTAAACATATCTGACTGAATACTGGACAAATGATGAAAATATCGATACGGTTTATGGCCCCAAATATGATCCAGTAACATCGAAATGGTCCCTCAACGGAAAAGAAATGAATCTCCATCGAAGAACTGGAGATATACTTCTTGATGGCTTTCGGTTCCGTGGCACCCCAGGCCTCTATCAATTACTCTTCTATAATGATCCATCCTTTGCCAAAGATGATACGAACCCATACAAGCAAATACTCTTGCTCACCAAAGCTCATCTGAATTCTGCAGGACGTATGAAGTCTTCCTCTAGACTCAAATACGTAGAAATTATTCGTCCAATGTTCATATCCAATTCCAGTGGTCGTGGTTTGAAGTTGACATACAACACAGCACCTATCGAATACATGTATTGGGATGATCCAAACGAATTGGTAGATAGATTGAAGTTGCTCATTGCATCACAGCAAGCCGGAAATACATCAAACGATAACGAGATTGTTGCCATCTTGAACGAATTAGAAGAGGCAGGCATAATAAAACATGTGTGACATTTCTGTGATACTTCCGTGACACTTCCATGACAACTTCCGTGACAGTTCCGTGACACTTCCTTGACACTTCCATGACAGTTCCGTGACAGTTCCGTGACAGTTCCGTGACACTTCCTTGTCACTTCCGTGAACTTCCGTTACACTTCCTTGACACTTCTGTGACAGTTCCGTGACACGTCCATGGCATGTCTATGAGTGAAGAGGCTAATAATTGGCGAGGCAAAGTGTCGACCATTATCGATAACGTACAATACTTTAGTCATTAGCATAATGAGTCTCGACAAATTCGGACGTGGTTCGTTTCCACGCTCAGCTCAGATGGTGACAGTCAGATCTGGATTTTCACATACTCCAACCGGTGATATTGATGTTGGTCATTTGAAGATGTGTAACGTAAAACTGCCAACAGATGTCGCTGATGTCGCAAACAAACAATATGTGGATGAAGTTATATCGCAAATAAAGTTAGATTTCAAGATTGCTTTCGATAATTACAGTGAAAAAATCCGAAATTACCTTGCTGGCTTCAGCAACGAAATAATCGAAGAAAGGAAGAGAGTGGATGTACATGATCTGAAACTGGCAACGTTCAATACAAACTTTGTTCAGTTGTCTGGCATAGTGCACAAGATCAACATACATGTGGAGCAGCTTCGCAACAACTCTCTACCAAAACTCGAAAGCGACATCGACTTGAATGTGAAAAATATTCTAGAACTTGTCGATAAGATTGACAACACTGTGAAGAGTTTGCACGATTTGAAGGCTGAGCAACAACACAGCCGTGATAAAGAACGTCAGCTTGCTGATGTCATTGGTCAAATGAAAAAAGATCTGGCCAAGATTCCCATCACTCCAAAATCTACGACAACACCACCGCCACCGAAACGGAAAGCCTCCTGTGTGAAACCCATCATATAAACTCCTAATCCAACGAAGTCAATATGTCACATTCTGAAGAAAAAATCCAACTCGTCAATGAATTACATAGACCTGCTAGGAAAAAATTTCCAAGGCGCCGCATTATCATCAAAGGTTTGGATGACTTATGGCAAATGGATCTAGCCGAAATGCGACCTTGTGCCTCTGTAAATAAGGATCACAAGCTGATAATGGTCGTGATTGATTGTTTTTCCAAGTACCTATGGACTAGACCACTAAAATCAAAAACTGGTGCTGAAATCGCTCGTGCATTTGCTGATATTCTATCGCATGCCAACAACAGAATTCCCAAGAATTTGCAAACCGATCAAGGTACCGAATTCTACAACGAAAAGTTTCAAAGTCTGATGAAAAAGTTCTCCATCAACCATTATCATACGTACACCATAATGAAGGCAGCCATTGCTGAACGTGTTATACGGACATTGAAGGAAAAACTATACAAGTACTTTAGTTTGAATGGCTCATACCGTTGGATAGATGTCCTGCCTGAAATCACAAAAAATTATAATAACACGAAACATATCACAATAAGATGCAAGCCCAGTGACGTCACCAAAGCCAACGAACAAGATATTTTAAAATCCACGTACAATCACATCAAAATTGCTGGAACCAGAAAATTCGACGTTGGTGACATTGTGAGAATAAGCAAAGCCAAACATGTTTTCGAGAAGAATTATACGCCAAATTGGACTACTGAACTATTTAAAATCGTAAAAGTTCGTATCACGAAACCTACTACATATCTCTTGGAAGATTTGCATGGTACTCCGATCAAAGGTGCTTTTTATCCTGAAGAATTGCAAAGAACTATAAATCCTGACATCTATCTAGTGGAAAGAGTTTTAAGGAAGAGGGGTAAAAAGGTGTTTGTCAAATGGTTGGGATTCGATGATACACACAATAGTTGGATTGATTCCAACAATAAATTATAATGCAAACATATGGAAAAGAAGCACACATTCAATGGCTATGAGAGGGCCTTTCATCGATCACTAACAAATAACCTGTTATTCCAATCTGCCGGATGTTATGATCAGTCAACAGTTATGGTATAAATAATGAGGACTGAAACTTTCAACACATCAGTTCGAGAACAATGAGTGAAGACTCTGGTTATTCATCTAGTGAGGTGCTTTCCGAAGACGGTAGTTCTAGATCATCATCATCAATGATGGGTTATTATGGTGATGTCAATACATATTTGGACATGATTGAGCAAGCAGCGAAAGCCGAATCGTACCTCCTGCTGACTTCATCGTTCCAGTTGTCCACCTACATGATTCAGTGCGGACTTAGTCCAGCTAGACAGTTTAGTCCGAGCATCATCCTGAAGAAACCCTTCCATCCAGCAAAAATTTCGTTCTCCACATATGAATGGGCCACCTTCATCGATTCGCTGTATAAGGTACAAAAAGACTTTTTTGAAGCACCCCTGCGCTGTTTCATTGATGAATATGATCCTGCCGTTACCACCTGCGGAGACTATATCACCATAACCAAATTCGTTTGCGATGGTGTCAAAATGTTGTCACTAACCAAATACCACATTACATTCGAATTGGTGGAAGAGGATGTTGCAGACATTTTGAGTGCTGAAATGTGCATTGTTTCACATCGAGTTAATTTAATCAATGACTTGGACTTTTTTATGTTTTATCAGAATATTATGAATGTAATAGCTGAATGGATAAAAAATTAACTGACTGTTTTGAGTGCACAAGAGCTTATATTAGGGTTTTGTGATGTTTGCAATAGCATGTCTAGTAACGCTCTCAGAGAATATCTATATTACTGTAAAAATGATTTGATGGCTGATTTGAATAAAAACCTGTGAAATATGTTACTCGTTTTTTATTTATTTCATCAGTCTACAACTTGACGCGAAACTAGTAGCATCTGAAATATTTTAGCTCTGCTCGAAAAATCATGAAGTCTGAAATAGCTGTGCTATTGGAGTTTATAAAATCTCCTGCTTTGTCTTTGACGAAATTCACTGAACAAGAATTGCAGTACATTCCAGTAGAATGTCTCATTGAATATGCAGATCCTTATGGGCTATCAAGGGTGTGGCACAAACTTCCTCAAGAATATCGCAGCAACTTTAACCTACAAATCAAGCTGTCATGCTTCGTTCATTATAATCGTCCCGATTGGACCACACACTGGGATGGACCGCCATCTTCTCAAGAGGCATGTCATTTTTGTAGAAAAGGATTACTTAAATGAATAGATTATTTATCTTCGTTTCCGTATTCTTTAACCCCCATGGGCTGCCCTGTATATATATTTTTTTTTTCAATCTTCATCAACTCAAACACCCTGTATATGAAAATGCAATCTTGTTATTGTCATTAAAGTCACAGTTTGAGGAATGGGTATACAAGCGCGCGCTTATCATTCTGAGGGATCTCTCGCTTTGCTGGAACTTCGAACTTCGCCATGAAGGTAACGGCATGACGTCACCCACTTTAAAATAAATAAATAATCCAAGTATTCGTTTCCAATACGAGCGCGCGCTTATCATTCTACGGGATCTCTCGCTTTGCTGGATCTTCGAACGCCATGAAGCGAGACAGCGTTGCCACACACAATAATGTAACAATATTAACATCCAAACACATACGTCCGACAACGTTGCAGCGCCGAGCGCTCGAGCCTTACTCTACCTCGATAGATCCGTTGCAAAGATAAGCGCGCGTCAGCGATGGATATTATTTTCGTCTCGAAGTTTCTTATATCTGGAATGCATCTCTCGCTTCACTCTACCTCGATAGATCCGTTGCAAAGATAAGCGCGCGCCAGCGATGGATATCCCGTTTGAATAGCATTAAAATAATTGAAATATCACGGAGGTCGGAATACCACAGTGCGTATATACGCTGCCTCATAATGCAAAGGTCCCTGGTTCAATTCCCCCCAGCGGTGACAGCTTTTTTTAATTTATTTATTTAAAAATTCATCATGATGATGATGATGATGTCATAACATCACAATTTCAAATTAACCGCCATCAGCGCCGCCGCCTTCTTGTTATTGTCATTAATGTGTTATTTGTTGCGGTTTCGATAAGCTCGCGCCAGCGCTACCCCTCTTCCCCGCTAGAACACAGGCCGCGTTCCAGTTAAGATTAAAGCGTGTATTTCCCTATGCCTATAGTCATGGTCGCTTAGTTTTAACTAATGGAATATTTCAAACCATGAACATAACGTTCCACATGGTTTGCCATTTTTTTATCTTCTTTGCTCAAACGCGAAAACTCTACAGATGGCTTGAATAGATGATGACTCGTCTTTTTAACAATGCGAATAGTCATTTCCTTCGGAATGAATTCACCCTCAACCATGAACCCTTGAATGTCAACCAGTGCGATTTCCATGACTCTTCAAAGCAAACTGACGTTTGACTGGTGCGATATCAACACCTAGAACTAGGCGATATTTCGAACAATTCCGCTGAGTGGGAGGAGTTCTATGATTTGGTCGTGAACGATGATGCAATAGGCTTTGGTGTCGGGAAAGAAACCTGTCGTCGCTTCAATGTCCAACTTTGTGTCAACTGTAGACGACTTCAGACCTAGATGGCGCCTTGAGCAATCGATAACAAACATTGGTCGGGTTTTGAATTCATTGAAATTCACTAGAGAGCGTTTTTGTTGACAGTTATGGTAGCTCTTGTTGAAATCTGTATAGTTGAAGTGAGCGTCGGCATATTGGTCTTTGGAAAAGTCCAATAGCATTCTTTCTTGCGGATAATAGTCGCTATTCAGAGCCAATCGTATGGATTTGATGTTGGCATTATCGAACGAGGTGACGTCTTCATGCGAATTATCGGCTTTTTTCGTTTGGAAAAACACTTCAACATATCTGAGACTCTCTGATGCAGAACACGTCTAGACCGACCAGATTTCTATGGCGGATCCTTGTGTGAGTGCTGGTAGCTCGTGCAATAACCATCGACGAAACGGTATCATCATAGACTCATCTGCCTTGATACGTGTCAACAACTGCAACTTTATGTCATCGTTGGGTGTAAGATGCGACACTTTCAAATTGATGCTTTCAATTGTTATTTTAGCAGTGCTCTGAGTCTGACGAGATCCTGGCAAAGCAGTATTCGCTCTCTCGACAACCTTCACACTGTTGGCATCATTGCGAGCTCTCACAAAACGGATAGACTGCTTGCCCCACGTTGCCACTTGATGATCGTTAATGATGGAAAACAAATGTTTCAGTGGAATGTTCATGCTGAACGTTTTATCGGCGTTGAGAATCGAAGCGTTGGGATAGTTCCAGCCTGCTATGGCTAGATGGCGTGAGTCTTCAGGTGTGTAACACAAGTATTCTCGCACATTACTCGTTATTCCAGAATATCTGACAGTGTCCAATTCTTTATTGCACGATTCATAGGTACAGGAATCGAAGAGATAGGCTCCAGCATTGTGAGTTGATGTACCAATACCACCTCCGGTCACAACCAATTTACCCTTGATGGTAATGATGCCTTCAAATAACGAATCTGCTTGATCGACTGTAATATCGATGACATCATTGTTTTCGAATGATTTCACATATGGGTAATAGGTGCGCCACTCCACTTTAGTGATGCTTTCATCGAATCTGGGTTTGCGGAAAACGTCGAACACGGGGGCTGACAATATTGTAGCCTTCGAGTGATTTGAGAAACAGGATATTGAATAATGTCAATGATTTTCTGCTCCTGCTCTCCGAAGACACGACTGCTTTGGTGAATGGTGTCGAGGGAACTGATGCTGATGATGGTTATGATGTTGGCTGATCGTCTGATTTATAGGAGTAATCAAACACTAGTACCATCTTGCGAGTTTCTTCAACTCCAATCTTATAATGATTTCTTCGCCTCTGAAATTCACCTCTCTAAAATCTTGGTCGAGCATCTGACTATAGGTAGATAGATTCGATTTCTGGGAGTCTCGTCTATGGCGTAACCAGGATCGACTGCAACTGCAAACTCGTAGATCGTATGTGATGGTCTGTCGTTGTAGAGGGCTCCGGCAGTAACGTTGCTATCAATGTGAATGGTTCTCACTTATGTTATGCTGACCGGCAAATCGGAAGTGTGGACTTGTGGTGCGTTCAATAATGTATTTGAGAATCCCAAGACTTGAGCTATGCTTCGGGCGAAAATCGATGGCAAACCTTTGGCTCGAAATCTCACACTTTAGTGTATTATTGTTGGGCTTCAACGAGAATATATCATCAACGTCCTTTGAACTCGATATACCCAATCCATTGCGTATAAATGTCTAAATCTCCACAATGTCGTATGAAACTTCGGGAATATCGATGATCTTTCCCGCCTTGGTCTTATCTTGCAGATAAAACTTTGATCCTTTGTCGATATTTGGAATACTGTTGTATGAATGAAATCCCAACAATGCTAGTCCGTAATCAGAGTCTGGATCGAGTTGAAGTGGTGTCAAAAAGTCTATGGAGAGCGTAGATGTACGACCTTTCAACGTCACAATCAGAGACATGACTGATGCACAATGAATGTGTTACTTGGTTTCGTTAAAGAGGAATTCTAGACATAGACGTTCACAATTACTATGATTGAAATTTTGGTATTGCTCATTATTGTACATGATCTTCGTGTCGGTACTCAAATATTGAGCCAATTCTCTGGGCAAGACTTTTTTATCATTTTTTATGTAAGCCAACCAATAAGTGCCCGCATGATTGGAGGTATCCAAATTCAATACAGCACACTCGCGATGCCATGGACCGGTAGAAGGTAGAGTGTCCCGCATAAAAACACCACTAAAATAAGGTATTTTCAGCTGTTTGGCATACTTTATCACATCTTTATCGTACATTGATTCATTGGGTATCTTGTCTAGAAGTTTTTTGATTGTTTCTTCAAGTACAGTCCGAATCGTCTCGATGTTTTGCGTAGAAATAGGCCGGAGCCCTGCTTGTCGATAGCCTCCATTGCTTTATCATGTCTTTGCTCTTCTTCGAGCTTTTTCTTTGCATTTTTTGCATCAATGACTGTCTTTGCGACTGCTCCGGTTCCTCCAGCTAGAGATCCTAGGGCTCCCAAGGCAGCAAATATTGGTATCAATGGTAGTATACCCCCACTGTGTTGAAGAGTTATGATTCTTAGTACTCTGATTCTTTTTTTACCGCCAGCCCTCTTGACTGCCATTCTGGCTGCATGAAGTGCTTTCAATGCAGATTTATTCAGACCACTTCCTGATGTTGTACTACCACCACCATCTGACTTTGATAGTACATTTCTTATGAATTTGATAATGTTGGATAGGGATTGCTGTGATAGAAGACCCATGCCAAGTTTTCGTTTGACCTTCATTCCGGTGGTGACAACCAAGCAGCAGCCTTCTCTTTGAATTCAGCGTTTCTTCGACTTGACTCTCTCCCACGCTCGATTTTCCAATATCCAATCAGCTTTGTGTCTGTCCTTTATTAAGGAATTTTGTGAATAGGCGATACCGTGTTCTCGACACGCGTCGTTCAACGGATTGATGCCGGTGTCTCTGTTGAGAATGATAATCATCACATTTAAATGAGTTATACTAACATCCTGTATCATGTTGAAATAATTGAATTTGTTTACTGTCAGTTACCTCATAAGAATTCAATATACGTTTTGAATATAAAAAGTTCTGGTTGATCTTCATAAGATTGTTGAATTAATATAATAATAAAAACCCGATATCCGAACAGGTTATGTGCCCAGGCATCTGCCATTAAGAAACGAAGATCAGCAATAAAAGTATAAGAAGGTAAAATAACATTTTAAAAAATACATCGTGACAGTTGTATACTACATCCTCAAGAATATACTATGGCATCCGCACTAGATGATGTTAGTCAAGTAGAGAAGTTGAAAGACAGCGAAACTTTTCAAGTCTGGAAGTTCCAACTCCTGATATTGTTCAAGGCTCACGGATTGTATGAAATAGTGAATGGTGGTATAACAATATCGTCTCTTACAAGAGAAGAAGAGAAAGCTGACTGGTATCGAAAAGACGCCAAAGCTCAAAAAGCGATAACAACATCAATAGATGAAAAAATTCTTATGCATATCCTTATGTGTGAAACCTCCAAGGAGATGTTCGACAAACTGTGTTCGATATACCAGAAAGATAATCAACAACAAAAATGTAGCTTACTTCAAGAATTTTTTAATTTCACTTATCAAAAAGGGAGTGATATATCTTTGCACATCAGTAAATTGGAAAATCTAGCATACAGATTGAAAATTCTAGACCAGAAAATTGATGATGAAATGCTCATGTCAAAAATTCTATCAACTCTTCCTCCAGAATTTAAACATTTTTGTACTGCTTGGGACTCTACACAAACTGATCAGAAAACTATCACCCAGTTAACAGCTAGATTGATTGCAGAAGAAAATAGATTCAAGAGTGATGGTGTAGAAGGAGTAACGGCGTTCAAATCCAGAGAGAAAATATTCGATAAAAACAGATACGGCAATCGTTCAAATAGGAGTTTGGAATACGAAAAGAAGTGTTTCCAATGTGGAAAACTAGGACATTATGCAAGAAATTGTCTGAATAAAACTAGAATACATCAGTTTCCAGTGTTTCCACAATGTAAATTTTGCAAGAAAACAAACCATGCAGAGAAAAGTTGTTTTTTCCGAAATAGATCTACACATGAAGAGAGTAAAATTGCTTTTTTGTCAAACGAAGAAGCGGAAGAAGTTGAAGAAATTGATAATTTCATTGTAGATTCTGGATGTTCATCTCATATGTGTAAAAATAAGAATTTATTCGAAAATTTTGAAGAAAGTCAGAGATCTTGGTAGCTAAAAAAGATCATTCTATGGACGCTGAAGGTAGAGGTACTATCGAAACAAAATCCTGTGTCCTGAATAATGTACTTTATGTTCCTGATTTGAGTAAAAATTTACTTTCTGTCAATGCCATAACTAAAAATGAAGGTGAAGTTATTTTTCGTAATGATGAAGTATTCATCATAAAAAACAATAAAATAGTATTGCAAGGGGAAAAACAGAATGGACTTTATCATGTGAATCTCGACAGAAATCTAGAAAAACCAGAAGAAACCTTATAGACGGTGAATGGGGATATCACAACCTGGCACAGAAAATTAGGACATTTGAGTGGAACGAATATGAGAAAATTGAATGGAATGGCAACGGGAATGGATCTACAGAAGAGAGACTATGAAAGATTTGATGAAACCTGTGAAATTTGCCTACAATCAAAACAGACAAGATTACCTTCCACCACCGAGAGATATCATGCAAAGAGACCTCTTGAAATTGTACATACAGATTTATGTGGACCGATAGATACAATTACATGGGATGGCGATAGATATGTACTTACTTTTCTGGATGATTATACACATTTTTGCATGGTATATCTTCTGAAATATAAAACTGAAGTACTGGAGTACTTAAAAAACTTCGTCAATGAGGTAGAAGCATTCAAAACTACGAAAGTTTCGAAAATAAGATGTGACAATGGAGGTGAATATGTTAATAGAGATCTTCAGAATTGGTGCAGAAGTAGAGGAATCATCATGGATTATACTATACCTCATACACCTCAATTGAATGGAAAATCTGAAAGACTAAATAGAACACTTATGGAAAAAGCTCGGGCACTCATCTTCGATTCAACCATGATGAAAGAATTTTGGGGTGAAGCTGTGCTCGTTTCTGCATATTTATTGAATAAAAGCCCTTATTCTTCTATGGATGTGACTCCCGTGGAAAAATGGACGGATCGTAGACCAGATTTGTCACGATTACAGATATTCGGTTGTGAAGCATTTGCAAAAACATTGGGGTACCTGAAAAAGCTGGATAGTCGTAGCCAGAAGTATACGTTTGTTGGTTATGCACTGAATGGTTATCGCCTCTGGGATGCTGAAAAAAGACGAATCATTATTCGCAGAGATGTTTTATTCAAGAATAATCTGAACGCTGGTTCTGACAACAAAGTCAAAAATATGAGAGCTGTCATAAACATGTCAGATGACAGTGATCATGATAATCATTGTGATAACCATGGCAACGAAGAATTTTCCGAAAATGAATTACAGGGTGATAGAGATTCAACAGAAGATATAGAATCGAATGAAAATGATACAGTTTCGAGAAGAGATATAGAATCGGAGAGAAATGGACTAGAAATACGGAGTGATCCTGATTTAGGAGAAGGAAGTCGACAGAGGACTCACAGAAAGCCGAAGAAATATTTTGTAATGCTAACATATCAAGAAGCTGTAACAGGACCAGATAAGGACAAATGGAAAGCTGCTATAGAAGAAGAAAAAAAGGCACTTGATAAAAATCACACATGGAAATATGTAGAAAAATCTGAAGTTGAAGGACAGAAGGTTTTAACAAGCCGATGGGTATTCAGAATCAAAGAAGATGGACGATACAGGGCGAGACTAGTCATAAGAGGATGCGAACAGGAATATGGGATTGATTTTACAGAAACTTTCAGTCCTGTAGTCAATAGCTGTTCAATAAGGATTTTGATCGCAATTGCTGCCAACAGAAACCTATTCATGAATAAATTTGATATAAAAACTGCTTTTTTATATGGAGAGCTGAAGGAAAGGATTTTTATGCATATTCCTGAAGGTTTTGAGGAAAACAATAATGTTTGTCTATCAAAAAAATCCTTATATGGACTGAAACAGGCACCTTTACAATGGAACCACAGATTTACGAGTTTTTTTTGAAAAAAAGAGGACTAATTTCTCTAAAAGCAGATCATTGCATTTTCAAAAATAAAAAAGGGAACTTTATTTTTGGCAATATATGTTGACGATGGTCTACTTCTAGCAGAAAATGAAGAAGAAATGGATATTTTATTACAAGATTTGGGCGAAGAATTCGAAATTGTGAAGAATAAAAACCCTACTACATTTTTAGGAGTCGAAATCATAAGAGAAGAAATTAGTATTGGACTTAAGATTATGTGGAGTCAATTTTGAGAAATTTCAATATGGAAGAAGTGAAACCAGCATCCACACCCATGATAACAATAGATAGAAATCAAGAGCATACGCGATTTGAGAAGGACTTTCCATTTCGAGAAGCAGTTGGAAGCTTACTATATCTCATGAATAAAACTCGACCAGATATTGCATTTCCAGTAAGCTTCTGTAGTCGAAAAATGGAAAAACCTACTATTCAAGATGTTTCAAATCTAAAGAGGATATTGAGATACTTGAAAGATACAAGTGACGAAGGAATACAATATATGAAGAATTCATATCAGTTTGAATTAATTGGATATAGTGATTCGGACTTTGCTGGAGACATCGAAACAAGAAAAAGCACAACGGGCTATGTTATTTCCTTCTGTGGTGGAACAATTTCATGATGTTCAAGAAAACAGCCGATTGTAGCTTTATCTACGACGGAAGCGGAATACATTGCCGCAGGAGATTGTACCAAAAAATTGATATATTTGAAATCATTAATAGAAGAGTTGACGAA